CCCTCTACAGGTCACAATGTTTTATCCGATTAAAAAAAACATTTAAATATATCACTGTTACACCCTAATGATGGTGAAGTTCGAATTTGGTGAAAATCGGACCGAAACTGCCCTATAAAACCAAGGTTCTGGACCCTTTAGATGTCACATCTTTTATCCGATCTTGATGAAATTTAAAATGTATGCTTATGTCCAAATGATCTTAGTTCCTTTCGATATTTGCGGGTCACTGTGCTTACCCACCGTTAGTAGGTAAGACACTGGTTCGCTAGCCTGGAGGTCGGGTGTTTATCCCTGCATTGACCGAGATTTCCCCTTGTCAGTGATACAGGACACGATAAGGGCAACTGTCTAGTCGTTCGGATGGGACGAAAACCGAGGGACCGTGTACACATTGGCGTACACGTAAAAGTTTCCTTGACAGTTTGAATTGGATATAAGAGTAGGCCGTAGTGCCGCTGTCCTGTCAAAGTTTCCCCACATAGGATACTGTATGGTGTATGCCCATATTCATTAGCTCAGTTCGGAGCAGAACAGTAGGACGTTAAACCCTCATTCCATTTCTCCTTTCGATATTCGTGCATTTCGGACCGTAACTTCCTGGATTATGGCCTCTGATTGTACCAAAAGCCGCATTTGTTTAAGCCTGTTCTCTGTCCATCTGGGGGTTAAGTGGGTAAGACGCTGGCTCGCTAACCTGGAGGTCGAATGTTCGATCCCTGCATTGGCCGAGAAAGTTCATTCAGATTTTCCAGCGTGGTTTCCTCTTGTCCGTGATGCAGGATGGAGGGCCTCACAAGGACAGCTGTCTAGTCGTTCGGATGGGACGAAAAGCCGAGGTCCCGTGTACACATTGGCGTGCACGTAAAAGACCCCTTGACAGTTGGAATTCGATATAAGAGTAGGCCGTAGCGCCGCTGCCCGGGCAAAATTTCCCCCATAGCACACTGTATGGCGTATGCCCGTCTTCATTAGCCCAGGTTAGGAGCAGGACAGTAGGACGTTAAACCCCATTTCATTTCCTTTCATTTCTCTGTCAATCTCTTGCAAAATGTGGGCGTATCTTTATATTTTCCCCGGAGCTATTTTATATTAAATTTATAATAAAAGAGAGGAATATGTATTACCCTCAGAGGAAGGGTTAGCTCAAGTTACTTTGTGTTGTCGTTTGCTTTGTATAGGAATATAGATCAATTGAAAATTTGATGCGTTATAAAATATTCATAATCGTTTATCTCGAGTAAAAGCAATGACAAGAAACTTGTTGTTTGTATATCTCTATATTACTGTTAAGTGTTTATAAATATTGCATCCTGTCAACCCAAAAAAAGAAGAAATGATGATTAATTCACAGTCATTTCCTATGTCGGTTTTACAAAAAAGACTATCAGATATGATGCATCGGTGTGAAAAGAATTATAATGTGTGTAATCAATGTTTTAAAGGAGTCAAGCCTTTAACTCAATATCACCCATAGTCGTGGACATTGCAAACACGACTTCGACCCAATTAAAATAACATTTATTTAAACGCCTCTATAAATCAGTCAGTGTCGTATTTAAAGCGAGACTTTCATATTTTCTAAGAAAGTCAAAACATAATTATTTCTTTGTCTTTTGCTCATTAGGTTATCAACTCACTATATTACGATCATAGGCATTATTTCCCACAATTAAAGGGGGGGGTGGATGGCCGAATGGTTAGCACGCGCGCGCTGTATCACACGGTCTGTCATTGAGTCAACTGGCGGGGTTTCGATTCTCCGGGTGTACGTGACAAGGAGTAGGGTCGCCTGTCCTATAGCAGTATATTAGACTCAAAATTCTAACGTCTAATTTTTATCTTCTATTCATGTAATTTCTAAATTCTATTCATGTAATTTCTAAATTAAGACAATGTATAATCAAACTTCTTTTTTTGTTGAGTGTAAATTTTAATTCTGTTTCATCTTATTTCTATTATTAAGACGAAAATTGTCTACTTTCTTGTCGCTTTACATGTTAAGCATAAAAGTCAAACAAATTTAGAATTTTGATACTTCTACTTAGCAACCATCATTATGACGTCGTTTGGTGTCGCCACCGTGTGATCGGGACCATTATGTTGATACCAACGACTCGCTCTTCGTCAATTTGAATGGTTTGGCGAGTGTTGAAATTGAAAACAACATCGAACGTGACATGGTTTGCAAATTGAAATACTATTTCAAATATACTGAGCGCCATGGACAACGCATCACTTACTTTTTCGTATAACAAAATGATCCTGTAAACATATCTTATTTATTTTGCTTCTTATTGTAAACAATATTCAAATGGGAAAACATCAATAACAACACATTTGTACACTTATGGATGTTTAATCTGTAATCAACGGTACAAAGTCAGAGGGGTCAAAACCAAAAGTACGACACAGATGTCGGTAGCTCGTGTGTCCTCCACGGGCTCTTACGCACGCTGTGCAGCGACGTCGCATGGAATTTACCAATGTTTGAAAGAAGGCCTGGGGCAAATTGTTCCATTCTTGGACAAGAGCAGCTTCTCATCCCAGACATGTTCTATCGGTGCCATGTCCGGAGACATGGCGGGCCAGTCCAAGACATTGATGTTAGTAGCCAGGTAGTCCATACTAAAACGGGCGGTATGCAGACGCGCATTATCCTGTTGGAAGTGCTGAAGTTGTGGGTGCGCTCGAAACATCGGAACAACAATTGGTTGCAAGAGATCATCACGGTAGGCTACAGCATTAACGCGACCCCTGCAAATGTGTAGGGCGGTCCGGTGATGAAATGTGAAGCCTCCCCACACCATTACACTTGCCCCACCCCATCGATTCGTTTCGAAGACGCAGCAGTCTGCAAGACGTTCCCCCAAGACGTCTCCACACACGTTGACAGCCATCAGTGTGATAAAGATGAAAGCGACTCTCATCACTGAAGAGCATACTTTGCCAGTCTACTCTTCTCCATGTCTGGTGTCCTTGAGCCCATATCAAACGCCGCTGACGGTGATGATCCCTGAGGATAGCTCCAACATAAGGTCGTCGTGCACGGAGTCCTACTTCTCTTAGACGACGTCTTACGATGTTGGCACTTACTGGTCCTTGTCTTCCGACGACTGCTGCACCTGTTCGAGTCGCTGGGCGGAATCTGTCACGCAGATGAGTGACCCGGATGTAGCGGTCTTGAGCCTGGGTTGTAACGCGTTGTGGACCAGGACGTTGACGGTCACTTGTTGATCCAGTAACTCGAACACGTTCCAACAACCTTACAGCAGTGGACTGATGACAATTGAAGTGTCTGGCAATAGCACGTGTAGACATGCCAGCCCTGGACATTCCCATGGCTTCATTCCGTTAATGTTCAGTAAGTCTCGGCATCTCTAGCTCGATTCCTTCACACGTCTAACAACAAATTACGACTGATTGATGTTTCACGGTGAATATTGGGTTTTTCATGTGAATCTCGTGCAATTTTTTTGTGTGCACACGGGTCGATATTTTTTGCGTTTGGGAGCATTGTGTGAAACAATAGTTCATAGTATTGCATAATATTATACATACAAAACCACCTAGTAATAAAATATTTGGGAAAAAAGTGATGCGTTTTCCATGACGCTCAGTATATAAGCTAAACGACAAATGTTGTTTAGCTTGTATTTGAAATAGTATTTGTCAACCATATCACGTTCGATGTTGTTTTCAATTTCAGCATCGATTCCCCGGTTCGGCGGATGTACGTGACCAGGAGTAGTGTGGCCGGTCCAACCTCGTTGGGGTTTTTCCGGGTCCTCCCGTTTGCTCCCACTGCTAGATCCCTCCTCGCAAGCGAATTATTAAAATAAAATTGAACCATACGTTAGTAACGAAATGGCCTAGTTTGTGTCGAGATTAGAAATTACATGAATAGGCCATAGAAGTTAGAAATTACATGAATAGAAGTTAGAAATTAGACGATAGCATGTTAGAATTTTTAGTCTAATATACTGCCATATTGTCCAACCTCGTGGGTTTTCTCCGGGTCCTCCCACTGTTAAAGACCCCTACGCGCAAACGAATTATTGAAATAAAATTGAACCATGTGTTAGTCCCGAAATGACCTAGTTGGTGTCGAGTGGACGTTAAACCCCATTTCTCTCTCTCTCCCACTCTTCAAAATCATTGACACAGGAAATAATAACACAACTACCTCCCTTCCTATTCCCCCATGGAATAGCTATCTTTAAACGTTTGAATTTAAAGTTGAAAATGATATTTTTGCCAATTTCTCAACTGGCAATAGTGAATTTTAGGATTAATAGGATCATTCTTTAACAAGGTAGGACTGTTTATAGATACATCTATTTTAAGGCTTTATTTTAATAAATTTTAGAAATATAACTTAAAAATATGAAATTGTAACTTTAAGGGGAGTCATGTTTTTAAAAGAATGTAAATTATAATTTGTTTTTGAACAGACATTTTGGGTTGTAAAATTAGTAGTAATGACGTATTAAGTGGTTTATAGTGAAAAGTAAAATATTTTGTTGTTTGCCTGGGATTGAGTTAAGAATATCCTAATTTGGAAGTGCTTGAATAGACGCCACATCGCCCTGAAGACAATAATTCATAAAGTCCCAAAGTATTAACGTGTTTATCTCCTACTTTGTTTGTGTATATACCCCGATAATACGTCTTGCATACATTAAAGTGTAATGTGTGCTACCCTCATTGTACTATGTTTTTTTTTTATCAGAATGAGGGTAATTTGTGGCCAATCAGGGATCCGAATGCTCCAATTTTCTCAAAAGAGTAGCTGCTGTTCGAGGGTAGACCGAAAAGAACACCCCTTTCTTCCCGTCTAGTGCTGAGCACACCCACCAATTTTCCTTGCATTAAGAGTAGTCGGTAGTGTGGCCGAATCGGACACTACATCATTATCGAAAATCTCCACGAGTTTCTGTTTTAAAATCGAATTTATTTTCCAGCTTGTGTTACAAATATCTACATTGAAAACATTTGGTTCATTGAGGACAATTTGACAATAACATGTATTCACGTCTCTTAATTTTAGTTATTTTATTAATTGTTACTTGAATTGTAATGTTTCCGCGATCATCAATAAATCCACTAAAAGGATTGATGAGTCTCTTCCATGCAACATGGTCACACCAGTCTAACCAATCGCCAGGTATAACAGTCCCATTATAATGTTTAACCACTGATTGTCTATCATCTTTTTTATTTTTAATTTTACATGTGACCGCAACTTTAAATGGCTTATTACTTTTATCTTCTACCTCATCCAAGATTAATGCAACACGTAACGATGACGAGTTTTTATACAAATGTGTACTCCATGTAAAACCTGTCATGACATGTTGTTTTCCATCATACCAACCATCTTCCACATTCTTCACATTAAAAACATCTTCAAACATATTCTGATGCCAACTTACAATTTTACCAAGTTGATTAGTTAACAAAGTTTTATCCATCTCCGCTTCTTGAAATGTTGGATATCTTACATCAGGTATATCACATTTTCTACAAAAAAATTCATCTTTCTCCTGTCTGACTTTAGGTAATCTTTGTAAAACTTGAACAATGGACGAATCTTCTAAAACATTCACTGAATATTTAACACTGGCTATTAAATCTTCTGTTAGTCTTATAATGTCCCCCATTAATTTCACAAATTTGGATTCTTCTTGATCACTACTTTTTTGCATTTCAATTTTAATATTTTCTCCAATTTTACGAAATTCTGAGCATATTTTATCCACCCGTGCATCTACTTTGTCACATTCTGTTTTCGTACAGTTTTTGACTTCAATTAATTTACTATTTAAATTATCATAAAGTTTCTGAAAATTGTTAATTTGTTTTTCTAAATCCCCATTTAGTGTTTTTAAGTCTTGTCTGATAATAGTTCTGACTTCATCCTTCTGTAGATCTAACAGATTATGTCCGTTATGATCGGTCACGAGACAATGCAAGCAAACGGCTAGTAAACAATCTTTACAGTAAATTTTTACTGTGTCGTCTTCATGGTTTGGACAGAAATCTTTCGGATGTTTTACGGAAGTGGCTGGTGGCTTTTCCTTCATTGGTGTCTTTGATTGTTGACTGACTTGCTTTTCATCATATCTACAAACAACATGGTATTTGCAAGATTTTAACTTATCATGCATAGTTTTACATGATTTACATAAATACTGATCACAGTCTTGACAAAAATACTGAGATGTATCTTCAATACATACATCACATTGTGGAATATTAATTACAGAATTGTCATCAATGTTTAGTTTGGGTTTAAAACGCTGCACACCTCCGGCTACAAGACAACGGCACAGTGGACACTGAAACTGATCTTCAGTAGAAGTTTTGTTCACATAATCTTCTAAACAGATAGAACAGAACGAATGTTGACAGTCGATTATTACAGGTTGTTGAAGGTCTTTGAAACACAAACAACACACATCCTCATCTGCCTGTTTAGCCATGTTGAATAACTGCCCGATACGCTGGTTGTATAAAATACGAGTTGGACTGGATACAACTACAGAATCAATCAGACAAATATAACATACGATATATATAAAAATCAAAACAATTAAAAAATTATAGTATACATGGTCTTAAGGTAAATAGTCTACTAGATCACAAAGACAACAACACAACTCATTCTCGTCTTTGCACCATATCGAGAGATTTATCTTGCCTTGACCCCGAAGCAGATCACGTGATTTTAAACTACAACTGCTAATTAATATGTGAAATGAAATGGGGTTAAACGACCTGCTGTTTTGCTCCGACTGGGCTAATGAAGACGGACATACGCCATACAGTGTGCTATGGGGGAAATTAGTGTTGATCAACATCCGCTTCCAAAGATGGTGATATTGCCTTATTTAATTATGCTTAGAGCACGCCCAGATGCCATTCCGGTGAAAGGAAATCGGGGTACCCAGAGTAAACCCATGAGGTTAAGTAGACGACGGTATTTCTACCCCCCCCACACACACACACAGTCATACGCTCACATGAGGGATCGAAACCACGACCGGCCAGCTAGCAGAGCTTGAAGAGCGACACCTGGACACTAGACCAATACCCCACCCCCTATCAATCGATGTCGCGCTATTCAGCCAACACAGAGAGGAATGGGGTTTAACGTCCATGAGTCGACTGGCGTGGTTTCGAATCCCCGGTTGTACGTGACAAGGAGCAGGGTCGCCTGTCCAACCTCGTGGGTTTTCTCCCGGTCCTCCGGTTTCCTCCCACTGCTAAAGACCCCTACGCGCAAGCGAATTATGTAAATAAAATTAAACCGTATGTTAGTCCCGAAAAGACCTAGTTTGTGTCGAGTGGACGTTAAACCCCATCTCTCTCTCTCTCTCGTTTAACATCCACTCGACACAAACCAGATTATTTCGGGACTAGCATATAGTTCAATTCTATTTCAGTAATTCACTTGCGCGTAGGGCTCTTGGAGGAAACCGGAGGATCCAGAGGTTGAACAGGCGACCCTACTCATTGTCACGTACAATCGGGGAATCGAAACCACGCCAGTTGACTCAATGACAGATCTTATGATATAACGCGCACACGCTAACCATTCGAAACTCCCCCAACCTCTCGTTTTGAATATATTAAGTCACTAAATATATGTTATATAAACTGATGACGAAAGTAGATCCAACTTTTATTGAGTTTATCGCGTTATCGAGTACTGTAGGCAATAATTTTCTTAAGATTTCGTGGTTGGAGTGTGAGTCAGTACATTAAGGGTTTAAAATGAAAAATAGAGCTCGGATGTATTTTTTGAATCATGTCGGTATATTGTTGATAAGTTTTATTTCATGTTCTATTGTCTGTTTGTGAGAGTTTGACGTCTACTCGTGGGGGGGGGGGGGGGGCAATGGAAGGGGTCTTTGGCAGTGGAAAAAAACGTAGGATCGAGTGACAACCCACGAGGTTGAACAGGCGACCCTACTCCTTATGTCGTACAAGCGGGGATTCAAAACCAGGCCAACCAGGCCACTTGACTCAATCGCAGATCTTGCGATTTAACGTAAACGCTTTAAACAATTCGGCCACCCAACCCCACTGAGTAGCATACAATTACATAAATTATATTAATACAGTACAACAAATATATATGTAACAAACCAACGTATACATCAAAGTAGAAGACGATGTGTAATACGATTGACTAGCAAGAGGGATATTAGGCCCACGTGTACTTCCTTTAGATAAGATAAGATTTGATTGTCCCGAAACAGCCATTAAGGACAGAATGTAATATAAATGTTTCCACAAATAACGATAAAGGACAATATGCCAAATATTATGTATATATATATATTTATAAACAAAACAATTGACAATTTGAACCTAGCTTACATTTAATAACAGAAATGAAATGGGGTTTAAAATTCCATCCTAACTTAAGATAGACGAGTTTCACAAAACGATTTTAAGCATTTTCGATAAAATTCACTAAAATAATATTGTAAGGAACAATTTTAACTAAAATCAATTTTAACTTAGGACAGCCGTCACCCTCTCCTAACTTAAAATCACGACATTAACAAACATTGATTAGAGCTACGTTGTGAGATCTATTGCGACATATAGATATATTTGGAATAATGATAATATTGCCAATGGCCCGGGTTATATAATTTGAACATACTATCATTCACAAAAATAATTTTTATTCAATTTCTTTTCATTGCATGGGAAATATACCTGCGGCCCACCCGTTTATTTTATTGTAAGGCAATATAAGCAATTAGATGACGCTTCAAATTAAAACCCCAAGAACAAAAAACCCCAGTAAACAAAACTCTTTGTTACTATTTTATATATTACCATGATTCAAGTATAAATTATACTATTTTCAAATAATTCAGACAAAAAAAAAGTCCTAAAAAAATATAAACCCACTTTATAAAATGAGAGTTCCACTTGATACAAACTAGGTCATTTTGGGAATAACACATGGTTCAATTTTATTTCTATAATTCGCTTGCACGTAGGGATCTTTATTGTGGGAGGAAACCGGAGGACCCGAAGAAAACCCGCGAGGTTGGACAGGCGACCCTACTTCCTGTCACGTACAACCTGGGAATTGAACCCCCGTCAGCCCTATAATACTAGATACGCCATATGCAAAATATTTATGGTTTTGGGGTTATGATGATTTATATAGGAGCCAAGGGTATTTTATATTGGGAAAAAACATTTTATTATAGTAAAATACATATAGATAGGCATTATCCAATAAGGAGTGTGGCACTTTGGCATTTTCAAATTATTATTGAAAGGGTTCATGGGACTGACATTTCAAATCTAGGCATCGGAACATTGGTTATTTCGAGTATTAGTTTAAAAGATATTAAATCGACAATACTTTAATCAAGATTAATCGTTTGAGTCAGAAATATCACATGTTTGTGACAATTTCTCAATAGTTTCTGTTATCCAAAATACCATAAAACTACGAAATTCAAGCGATTTAGTATATCGATACGCATTATTTCTATTGAAGCCTGCAGGTAAATCATATGCCAAGGTCACGAAAGTGACATGCAAGTTCAAGGCCAACCGACTAATTCATTTCAAAACGGATAACACGCAATTAACTTATTTATTTCATCTCTCTACAACTGGCTGACCATGTGCAAACATTGTTACAATGTATGAAACCCTCCTCATTGGTATTGTAACAGTTAGTTCAACCTGGTAACAGTTTTCAGTTCCGAAGCGTGTATGCTTACACCCTAAGTGCCCTCGCCGGAATTGTGCACTGCGCGAGCGCAAGCGATTTTAACTAAAATCTATTAAAATTGCATTTTAAGTTACAATCGATCTTCGTGAAACGCATAAAATTTAAAATTTCAGTTTGATTTTAGTGATTTCTTGTTTAAGTTTTTGTGAAACAGGCCCAAGTATTCTCACTGCTAATGCACATATTTAGTTCTCAAAGGGCAAAACCTTAAAATTCGGAATTCGATCTTAAAGGTGCATTATATAAAAGCTAAATCTGCATACTGCAGGTCATTACCGACAAACCCATGTTACAGGAGTTCTGCTTCATGATGACAACATTGATTTAACTTAAAGCTGCAATTTCATATTTTTAAGTTATATTTTTAAAATTTATTAAAATAAAGCCTTAAAATAGATGGTATCTATAAACAGTCCTACCTTGTTAAAGAATAATCCTATTAATCCTATAATTCACTATTGCCAGTTGAGAAATTGGCAAAAATATAATTTTCAACTTGAAGATAGCTATTCCATGGGGGGGGGGGGGGGAATAGAAAAACAAGGGAGGTAATTGTGTTATTATTTCCGGGGTCAAAGGATTTTTAAGAGGGAGAATAGATGGTATCTATAAACAGTGGGAGAATAATACCTATAATCGTGTAATAGTGAGTTGACAACCTATTGAGCAAAAGGCATAGAAATAATTATGTTTTGACTTTCTTAGAAAATATGAAATTATCAATTATCGCTTTAATATGATACTCTTATCGTCCCCGCCTTTCGAAGAGATAGGCAATCTGATTGGTTGATGCTTTTGGGCACGATAACTTTGGTTATAATGAAGTGAGAGCGATTCATTATATCATTACCTTGACTAAGTTCGAAGGGGCGAATTTTCTGCTTAGCCTAAGGAGCGATAAGCAATTGATTGGTCAAGTCTTTGGAACATAACAACTCTGCTTTTAATTGAAGTAGAATGTTTAAACTCTTTTAATTGAAGTAGAATGTTTAAACTTGATGTAGATGTTCATTAGGTGAATGCCTTGACTGAGTTCAATGATTAACATTTCGAGCTAAAGCTAAGCAGAGCTAATCAATTTCATTGGTCGATGCTTTGGGACAAGATAATCTTGATTCTATCTGACAGAGAGTGATGAAATTTATTGTATAGTTTGATTGCTCGATACTTTTGAAAAAAAAATAAAGGTGCTATTAATAAATGTGTCATCTAGTTTTTTGGGGATTTCGGCGGAGGACATCAGCCTCACTGTCGGCTTGTTGTTCTTCAAACATATCAAGTACAAAACTTCTTATAGTTAAAGACCCCGTAATTAGCTTGTGTTGGGGGTAGGGGGCATGATCCTAGCTTGGCTTGGCACCCTAGGGTGCCAACTCCCAACTAACTGAATTATCTCCATTGGATTTCTGCTTATAACCCCACTTCTAGACAAATGATCTCACAAGATTACCC